TAATCATAAGCCTTAATTTCAATTGATTGATTTAATTGTAATTTTAATGATTGATTGGTTTAGGTGACACACTAATCAGTGTAATCATAGGTTACTAATTAATTAATTAAATTGCATTGCTCTACTATCCCAATATTGTGGTCTCAATAGGCTGTGATTCATTTTACAAATAGGCACATCTTCTGGTAGCTTTTGCAGTTTTAGTTGTGTTGGTAAACTGTGCATAGCACTCGACACAGTGACATGATATACAACTTCATTCTCAGAATTCATCTTGTTACCTAAAAAATGCATGAACCTTAATTAAATCTGTGTACAATTTAAGCAAATTTTAAATTTTATGTGTGTGTATATATATATATATTACAATTTTTAAATAAGTTTAACAGGCATAATTGAATTAAATATAATCCATACAGATTAATCAGTATAGAGGCTAGGCCTTATCATATCATATACTCATAGAGCCTACTATAAGATTATTATTATTATACAATTGTAATTACTATGATAATCTAATATCTCTAATGTTATAGTTAAACCTCTGTTTAAGTTGGGCCATATGTAGACGTAGCTTACTTTTAAATAACTCGTAGTACATTTTTGAGGTAATTTGCTCTTCACTATTGAGCCCAATCCCCACAAGCAGCTACTTTATTCCCATTTGTATCAATGAATTAAAGTAATTTTCTTGCACTTGGGAAACCAGTTGAATCATACACTCATTTTTATAACAAAATTTGATGTAACTTCAAATCTGTGTTCCATGAGCACCTGTGGCCATGTTGTTCGTATTATGGCTTTTCATTGGGGGGATAGCTGACTTCATTGGTTTCCTGTGCTGTCAATTAACTCACCATTTCACACAGATATGAAGAATCTGAAAATTAAGCCTTTGCACCTGTCTCATAGTCTGTTTTAAGCACTTCAACTTTTCGAGGAATCTGTACTGCAGTTTATCCAGTTACCATACCTTATAAACCCAATATAGCAGTTATAAATAAGGACAAAAAGTTGAGATATTGTCTTTGTAACACTGCATGGAGAAATACTTGATAATTAATATAGTCTATTCTAAATGAAACTAATAGATAATTTGACTTTAGCAGATAGAATGACGAAACATTATTCTCAACGATATCTTACCTTCTCTCACAAAATAGCTTTTCTCGATTAGTACTGTTCTCGAACGGTGCATATTTTCAATGCTCCACTACAAGCCTTCCACCTTTACTTCTGCATATCCACATGCAAATGATCATGCAGCAGCTCTCCACCAATAGGAGCACAATACAACTTCTATTGTAACCAGCACCCTCTTCACATTTGCACTCATTAATCACTTCTCACTTGGCAATAGTACTGTACAGACATACTGCTTTTTGTTCGTGGATCTGTCAACATTTTCTTTATATTATAGACTTAGTTTTTCTTTACTATTTATTTAAATTTTTGTGTTTTGTAATTGTGAAAGGTTGCTTTTCTTACTTTTTCAGGGGCCTTTTTAGCTAGTTTATTGTGGATTCCACTCTGTAGCAAGTGGTGCCTGACCAGGTATACTTTTTTTTTTAAAATCTGCACTGACCATGCTTGATGTCAATTACATTGTAGTTCTTCCTACTGTGAACCTGATGTGTAATTCCAAATGCTGCTGTGTGTTGGCTGTGTGTGGCATTCTGTTGGTGTTGGTGGCTTATAGCACTTCCTACCATGGACCTGATGTACAATTCCAGATGCTGCCAGGTTTTTAGATTAACCCCGTCGACACTGTAGCTCTTCTTTTCAAAATAGGGTATCACAGTCAAACATTGCACTGTTTCTGCCAATGTAATCCTCTGGACTCTCCAATGTGTTTTTTCCTCCTTTCTTCTAGTGTATTATGGGAGTCCTTACCACTTACCAGTTCCTAGCTACTTAGGTGGTGGACCATGGAGGCCTGTCCTCATGAGTGATGAATCCTACCACTCAGTTGAGAGTAGTACAGTGGCATTCTGTAGGTGTTGGTGGCGTATAGCACTTCCTACCATGGACCTGACGTACAATTCCAGATGCTGCCAGGTTTTGATTGAAGCACTCCGCCATGTCACAAATATATATATATATTTCTATCATTGCAGTTTGCCCATTTGGTTGAGATGTTCCTCGTACCTATCATCCTCCTGATGTACATTCCTGATGGGTCTGGTGTTGGTTGGAGATAGTCCAGCTAAGTAAATCCTCACGTGTGCTGGTTGGTATCCCACCTCCTACCATTTGTTGGATGTCGGTTCCCGGCAGACCAAGTGTTGGTTGTAGCTGGATGCAGAACGTTTTCCCACTTATGCACAGGTGGGTATCCTCCTCCTACTGTGGACTGGAATTACCATACCCATTGCTGCCAGGTTTTGGATTGGAGATGTCATCCTGTTGGGGCTTTCCACGATCTTATCATCCACTGGATGTTGGTTTCTGGTGGATCTGGTGTTGGTTGTGTTGGAAATGCGTGCAAGTGAAGACAGATTTTAGTACAGAAGCTTGTCTTTCCTACCAGTTCCCATTTTGAGGTGAAGAGGTAGGTGATCCTCAACCGACCATGGATCTGATGTACCATTTGATATACCACCTGTCCTGTCATGCCCTAGCTATTTGACACCCATGAGTCCCATTAATGAATCATACATATTCTGGAATTCCTTCATATTTTTCCACCTTCTATGTTTGCGACACAAAAGAGCAAAGAGTATACCTGAATCAGTTGTGGTACGATCTCCCGCTGAGTTGTGATGCTTTCTTCTTTGGTTCCATGCCTCCTGGTCTCTCTTTGGGCACTTCCTAAAGGGGGAATATTTTTTTCATTGGTCCTCCACCAGTTCAATGTGGGATTCTAGCTATTTTGTGAATGGAAGTAAGATATCATATCGTAAGTTAGCATTTTCCTACACTAAAAATGTATTTCTGATAGATACTTACTTCCACTCTCATTTCCCACCCAGCCTCTCCACTTCCAGTAATATATGGTGGAGGTCTTCTGACCAATCTCATCAAAGTGATTAATGAGTGCAGATGTGAAAAGGGTGCTAGTTACAATAGGAGTTGTGTCATGCTCCTATTGGTGGAGAGCTGCTGCATGATCATTTGTATGGGGATGTTCAGAAGCAGGAAGTGGACGGTTAGTGGTAGAATGTTGAACATCTATGCCAATAGAAGGCAGTGCTAATCGAAAAAAGCTATTTGTTAGAAAAGATAAGTATCTATTAGAAATACATTTTCAGTGTAGGAAAATGCCGACTTCCATAAACACCATGTGGTCCATGTCATCCACTAAAGTTTTACAAATACTGCCTAAACAATCCCTGAAAATTAATTTACCTGTTCTAATGAAGTTGTATGCATATTGTAATAGTACAGTATCATCTTAACATTACATATTTACTTTTTCTAGTATGTACAGGTGATTACAAAGAAAACCTTATTTACTTGTAATGAACATTATAACTTACTTTTTTTGTGGTTACAATTTTAAACCATTATGTTTTCCCAATTTTTGACTATGACGAAAGAAAAGTTTACTTGGTATTCAATAGAATCCTTAAGAATGCTGTATATGATGTTAAAGCTGAATAATCAAACAAAATTTCTTTTATCATAGTAGACAGGGTGAAATAAACCTTCCACAACTTTACCCAAATCATCAACCCATCTACACACATGCAGTGGGAGTAAACCTTCCACAACTTTATCCATACTATCAACCCATCTACACACATGCAGTGGGAAGGGTTGATGATTTGGGTAAAGTTGTGGGAGGTTTGTTTCTTGTGTGTTTGTAGATGGTAGGAATGGACTCATGGGAAGTTTTCACTACTGTAAATAGTACCTATTACAAATAAGCTTGTCCTTTGGTCATAAGTTATAGAAATTTTATAGGCATGTTTAGCAGAGTTCTGAAGATATTACTGCCCTAAACATAAAATACTTAGTATCTGATCTTAACAACAGACGTTTAATTCTGTATTTAACTTTTACTGTTTTTTTGTGTTTATGTTGTTTTTTTAAGAAGATGAATCAGATTTAAACTTGCATAATGCTGCTTCTGTAACAATTTTTTGGCTTTAGAGCATTTTGTTGTTGTTGTGTAACAAAACCTAAAGTTAAACCTGTGTATTAGTTTTGAAAAATTAATGAGAGAAATAAATATATAAACAAGATGAATAATTTGTTTCAATCTATATATATAAAGACGAAATGTATGTTTGTTTGCATCCTAATTCCTCCAAGCCTATTGGGCCAATCTCAATCAAAATTTGTATATAAACACTATGAACTATAGGGGATGTACTTAGAGGGTCAAAATTGAACTCAACCCTATTTCTATTTTATAAAGCATGTTGGTTAATTACTCCTAGCTTATTGAGTCAGTCTCAAACAATCTTGGCAGGTTGATGCTTTAGACAATGTTCTATGTTCTAAAGGGATTCAAGGTCAAAGTATGAAAGCTGCTGGATTGTTTCTCAAACACCCAAGCTTTTCTCATGGTCATTGATATATAGGGTGTTCAAGGGTGGGATCACCTCAAAATATTTATTTGTTGGTAGATGGAAAGCAAACTGCAAATGTTGTTTATGAAAAAGCTTTGTTATAATTTTAAAATTATGATATAAGTTTATGTTAAGTTAATACTCTGAAACATATGATTGCTGTTAAACTTGCATTGTTTTAATAAGTTTAAACACTCCCCATTCAGCTTGTAATATATATATATAAATATCCATCAGCCTGAGTTGTTTCTACTGCCAGTCCTGTTGGCAAATACATTCTCATTCCACATCTCAACTGGCTTATTTGAGTATTCTAAACTTAAGCAGTAGCCAGGAATGCTGGAAGTTCTTTTAAGTAGATTTTTTTTTCTTAAGAGTTGAGAATACAGACTTCATAAGATTGGTATACACTTACATATTGGTGTTATAATTTTGTTGTCTATTATCATTTAAATTGTACTCATATTTGCTTATGTCTTCTAGTGGATGCAATGTTCAAAGCTATGATGGATTGTCAAGCCTTACATCCTGATGAAGATGACTCATTTTCAGAAGGTAATTATATGTATGTTTGTGCTGTGGATAAACAAGAACACGTACATTGCTGTGCAAAAATGTTAGGACAAGAGAATATTTTGTCATTCTTTCCATTTTATGGGGCTAATTCTTCTATGATATTACAGAATTTAAATTTCAACACTATGGTAATGGTTCACTGATCCCTGTTGACAACTGAATGAGCCAGGGTGAAAATACTTATCATTCTTTAGAATTCCCATATACTTGTACCAAAAGCATGTCATAATGGTTCTGCTTGAATGAACATACTGATCAAATTTAGAGTCTGAAATAACTGTCATGGTACTCCCTGCAGTGTCAACTATATAGAAAGAAGCTAGCAAGGAGCAAGCATATGGTACAGGTATATGATAGAAGAAATCAATTTAATAGTACTCTACAAATAAACCTTGATAAAAACAGTGTTTAACACTACATATTAAATTTTGTTGTCATGCCACAGCCCAAAAAGCATAGAGAATTATCAGTAGAGCAGAGTTTGCATAAAAGTTTTATGTGATGCTGGTTGAACTCTCCAACAAATTGCTGCAAATTGAAATGCTCCCCAAACACTGTCAAGTACACCATAAATCATGAGACCAATACATGTAAATTTGAAAATGTGAAAGGAAGAGATAGAACACCTAAACTCAATGATACTGATGTTAAGTATCTTTGTTTATGCAGTCTTCGAGACAGAAGGAA